AGGTGGCATCCATTGAGACAAATCTTTTTCCAGAAGTCGGTTCATAACAACAATATCCCTTTTGAGTTTGGGCATAACCAAGGAAAATACATTTGAAGGCCTTGGGATCAAATTTGGAACGATGAGGGCCAAGGATTTGAACGAAACAAGTGCACCCAAAGGTTTTGAGGGGAATGGTAAGCAATTCTTTATCAGGGTATAAAAGGGTAAATAGAGTTTTCATGTCAAGAACCCGTAAGGGAATCCGATTGATGAGATAAACAACTGTAAGAACAGCATCCCCCCAGAAATGTATAGGCACATTTGAGGTAAACATAATGCCTCTGGCTACCTCCAATATGTATCTATTCTTTCTTTTAGCAACCCCATTCTGCTGTGGTGTATGTCGGCAGGTACTCTGATGGATAATCCCATGATCAAACATGTAGAAGGCTAATGGATTTGCAAAATATTCTTTTGCATTATCGGATCTAAAAATTTTAATTTTAACCCCAAATTGGGTTAAAATCATTTGATGAAAGATCCGGGTTAATGCAGGAACCTCATCTCGAGAACGCATAACGTAAACCCAAGAAAACCGAGTATAATCATCAACAAATAACAGGGAATATTTGTACCCCCCCCCCCATGGCTATGGTATGATAGGGTCCCCAAACATCAGTATGCACAATTTCAAAAGGAATATTGCTTCTGCTATTACTTAATGAATAGGTTGTCCTGCAATGTTTTGCAAGCTCACAACTTTCACACTTCAAACTAGACATCTAAACAAATTCAAATAAACTAGGAAACAAACTCTTCAAAGCCTGAAAGGATAAATGACCCAGCCTATTATGCCAAAGCATCACCTGATCAACAGACTGAGAAACAAAGGATTTCTTGGTTTCACTATCTTTCTGATGAGCACTTCCTCCAAGTAGGTAGATTCCATTTGTCTCACGGCCAGTCCTAATCACCTTCCTTGTCTCCAGATCCTGAAAAACACATCGATCCGGAAAAAAAGGTTACTGAACAATTCTATTTTTTTGTAATGCTACTAACTAAGAGCAAGTTAGTATTAAGCTTAGGAACATGCAAGACGGAGGATAGGGAAATGGCATCAGACAACTTGATGTCTCCTTCGCCAGAAATAGGAACAAGGGATCCATCAGCAATGGACACTTTGTCTTCACCAAAAGATAAATGATAGGTAGAGAAAAGTGATGGCAATCCAGTCATATGGTCAGATGCTGCTGAATCTATTATCCAAGAATATTTTGTATTACCTGGAGCTGAAGCATGATAAGCTGAGGCCCAATTACCTGATTGAGCAAACGATGAGGTTGAAGGAGCTGATGGTGGCTAAGGATATGAGACTGAGTTACTAACTTCACTTTCCAATTGTGTCAGAGCATCTCGGACAGCAGCTAGGGTGTCTAGAGGAGTGCCTCTTGAGGCCGTTAAGGTTGCAGTATCAGTGTTGACAGCCATATTGGCATTCCCCTTTTTGTTTCTGAGTTTTGCTGGAACTAGATGTGGATGCAACTTCCAACAAGTGTCTTTAGTATGTTTAGATTTCTTGCAATGCTCACATACTAGGTCCTTCTTAGCTTCCTTCTTCATATCCCTTTCTTTATCACCCCCAGATTTGGGCTTAACTGCTGCCAGGGCTGATTCAAAAGGTTGTTGTTGTAGCATAACTTTTCTCCTAGTCTCTTCACTGTGCACTAGAGAATAGGCCTGGGATAGAGTTACACTCTCTTGTAACAACTGTTGTCTCACAATATTATATTCAGAATTTAGACCAGCCAGGAACTCGAACACTCTATTAGTTTCAACCTGCTTTCTATAAGTTTGTGCATCCTTCTGACTCTCCCACTCAATTGTTTCAAGGTGGTCAATTTCATGCCACAGGGATTTCAAGGTGGAAAAATAAATAGAGACCTGTTTCTCTCCTTGCTTGAGATTTTTAACCTCACATTTCAGCTCATAAGCCCTAGCAACATTAAGGGGCTGAGAGTAGGTTTCTTTCAGAACATCCCATATTTCCTTAGCTGTTTTTGCTCATGAGTAGTTTCGGGTGATGTGTGGCTACATAGAGTTGCACAGCCATGTCATCACCAAATAATTCTCTTGAATCCACTTAGCATAAGTTGGATCCTCCTTAGTTGGTTCCTTCATATCCCCCAACAAATAGTTCAGTTTTCCTCTACCCCCAATGGCCATCATGGCTGATTGGGCCCATTCTAAATAGTTTGATCCATCAAACTTAACAGTTGTAATCTGAAAAGTGTTCTCAGTCATGTTACCTGAACCAAAAACACCCTCCCCCTGGCTCTTAAACTCCATTCTTGGTTTGGAATTAATCAAAACCACCTTCTAAAATTACTATAACAATCAGCCTACTGGGTCTGAAACTAATAACAGTAAATCTAGAAGCAAAAATCAGATTCAGCAGTACTGGGTCTTTGAATACAAAGAACAGAGAACAGAAATCTGATATCAGCCAAGCTTAAATCACAAAAGTCAAGTCTAACTATTATCCGGACACAGTAACAGTCCTGGATTTCAGTGTTTTCTCTAAAACCCAAAATCAAAAAAAGAGTATATATATAGCTGTACCTCTCAGATTAAGCTATCCTTGCCGACCTCAAAAAAGGATGAAATCTTACCCATAAGTTTCTGAAGAAGAACTGATCTTGATCCAAAAAAATCTTCTGGAAATTCTGATTGTCACCTTCAGTCTTGCTCCAAAAAACTGACCTTGATTCTGATCAACCTCAGAAAAATTCTGAAAACAAACTGATCCTAAGAGAATCCTCTTTAAAAAACTTCAATCTTGATCAGAAACAAATTGATCGGCACCTCCAATCTTGATCACCAATTCTTCTCTGGTTCTTCCTGACTACAAGGAGCATCCTCCAATCCTCGGACAGTTGCTGAAGAATCCTTGTAACCTCCAAGAATCAGCCGAAAAAAAAAGCTGTTCTAAGCTTCCAGCCCTAATTAATTCTCATGTGGTCGGCTGAATTAATTCCACATGAGATTTCCTAGATCGAGTGCTTTGATACCAAGTAGTCGTATAAGACTACAATCAGCCTTGGGTTTCGAACAGAAAAAAAAAAAAGGAAAAGATAAGAGGAGAGGAGAAGAGAAGTAGAGAGATGGAGAAGGAGAACTTGTAGAGAGATTTTGAGAAAAGAGAGAGTGGTTGGTGTGTATTAAACAGCCGCCCCACTCCTTAATTTATATACATAGTTTCCTAATTGTAAAAGAACTTGAATGCTTATATGGCAATAAAAGATAAGATTAAAATAAAACTAATCCTAAATAAGATAGGATAAAACTTATCCTACTAGGAAAGCGGATCCTAATCAATTAAATCTAAGTACATCTCAGGGTGCCACACGAGTACTCTTAATGTGGGGTCCACAGTTTACAACATGCTAATTGCTTGCTAGTAGAAAATATACTGGAAGCAAGAGAATGGTGGGATAAAATTCATCAGTTTGGGACATTATCTGTAGATATTGAAAAAGAGTATTTAGCAACAGCCTGCCAAATCAATTCTAATGAACAAATAGAAGAATGGAATTTCTAAATGCTCTTTGAAGAGCAAGTACATGGAAACACTTTTAAATACGCCGGGAAAGGAGTTGTAAAAAACACTGGTGTTGATTGAGAATGGTGTTCGAAGGACATGAAGGTTTCTCACCAGCCGGTAAGTGGAGAGAAGTGTTGAGAATAGAACGAAAGGAACTGTTGCTGGAGGAGACTTTTTACCAAAAGGAGCTTACGATTAAGATCAGAGAAGGAAAGAAAGGTACAGTTCTGTTAGTGGGAGATGCCGTTCCGTGGTTTCAGAGTTTCCTAGATGGTGCCGCTGGCCAGGTGAGTTGGAGTGAAAGGTGGAAAGGTACGCTAAGGCAGGCAAGGAGACAATACGCAGCTGAGAGAAGGAAGAACTCTAGTGGTTGGTTTGTTACCTTGAAAGAGAAGTTTGACAAAAGGAAGAGACAGATTTTAGTTATCCCTAAAGGTGTTTGGCAGCAGGGATGGACAGCGGTGGCTAATGCTCTACACAGGAGATTAGTCAATAAGGAATCAAAGGCAGTGAAGGTACAAACAGAGCGAGTAGTTGGCGGACAGAGTAAGAAAGAAGAGATGACAGAAAGAAGAAAGAGACTAGAGAGGCTGGGTTTAGAAGACACAGTGGGAACCCAAGGAAAGCCAACTGTGGCGTTTACTATCCCAGAACCAAGAGTGGCATTGGATGGGGAGAAAGGAAACTGGGAAAAGAAATACATCTTATCTGCGAGGGAGGAGGTGAAGGACTGGAAGGGGCTACTAGAAGAGGTGACAACGAAGCTTGGATTGAACCAGACGGTCATCCTTATTCCTTTCAACAATAGGAAAGCAGTCCTTGATGTGGGTGAGTTGTTGATGGATTTCACTATGTTGGAAACGAGTGAAGGTCCTRTAAGAATTGAAAACTGGTGTCCTCTTTCAAATGAGGTTGCTGCTGTAGATGGAAGCTTTAAACTGAAGCTGCTGGGTTTACCCTTTCATCTCTGGCAAAAATCAACCTTGGAGAATCTGGTGCAGGCGATGGGCGGTGTTCTTCTGTCGTATAAGACCACATATTTGAGGGCAGCGCACTTGAGAGTTGCTGGAATGAAGCCTGAGGAAGTTCCAAGGGTAGTACAAATATGTGCAGAAGGCTATTGGTATAAAGTCTGGGTGAGTTCAGAAGTTGAAACGTTGCAGTGGCTGGGGAGGTCGAAGCTTGAGGGAGATGATGATGTGGCAAGATGGGTTACAGTTGGCAGGTTTGAGCAAAGGAAGTCTGGACATGTGGCAGCCGCTGGAGTGAAGGTTTCTCTGAATGAGGAAGCTGAAAAGTCGAAGGCCAAAAGCAAAGAGGCATTTGTGGAAAAGTTTTCAAATTTTTTTTGAAAACCAAAACAACTCTACCGCGGTTTTGTCCTATGCGGACTTGGTCAAAGGGGTAACCAGGTCACATGAGTCGAATCTCTACTCAGCCATTGATAGACAAGAATATGGGTCTATCTTCTTCTTCACATGGCTCGACCCCTGGGAACCGAATTTTTTCTTCAAGCAACCAGAGCTTATCGAAGAGGAAGCTGGGCTGGTTACCGGTGACAAAACACAGAGAAGACGACCAGGACGAATCAGAACGAGAAAGGCCAAACCCAAGGTACTCCAAGGGGAGTAAGGAAGACTGTGAAGACGAGGAAGGCAGATGGGTTAGTTGCGACAGTTCAGAGGAGATGTCAGACTCAGATGTTGAAGCTGAACTTCAGTCGGAAGATCATCAAGGAGAGTTGGAAGATGCCCTGAATACTGATATCCTTTTCTCAGAGCACGTCGTAGAGGATCCTTTCTTGCATAAATCCTCCACTAGGTGCGGAGGGCTGAACGTTGTCGAGCATGCCTTAGAAGATGAGGGGGAAAATCTAACACCAAGTAAGGGAGAATCAAACCAGGAGAGTAACTTAAGACAAGGGACCTGCAAGAGGACTTCGGCTGCTCATCATAATTCGAGCAGAGACGGCACAGACGGGGATGAACGACAGAGCCTTGGAGGTACGAACAAGGGTGAAGTCAGCCTAGGTGCCGACCAGATAAGCCCTACACGAAGAGTGAATGGACTTACCCAGTTTGATGTCTCTTCTCCTTCTTCTTCAGTCCCAGGTATGGTCGTGGTTTCGATTTTAGATACTAATGTTTGCTCTGCCTGTGATGTTTGTCTTTCAGATCCCAGCCGTGCCCCTTTGCTGAATACCCAAGGTCCAGAGGCTGATACTGAGGAGGTTGGGGAGTTACAGGAGGGGGGTGAGAAGGTGGGGAGGGTGGGGAGAGCAGATCCAAATGAATTAACCAAAGGGGAAACTAAGGAGGACAATGATAAGATGGAGGAGGAGGAGGGGAATAGGAGGAGTGAGGTAGGGGGGGAAAGGATGAGAAGGGAGAGGAAGAAGTGGAGTCATTAGCTGAATTTGTAGAAAAGTTAGGTTGTAAGGTGAGAAACCTAAATGATCTGAAAGGGTATTTACGGGCTGAAAAAGATGGTGGCAATAGGAGGAAGAGAAGGTTAGGCGAAGCTGAGAAATTAAAGTTGGAAATGGACGTGAGCACAAAGGCTAGAGTGAGGAAAGGGAGGGGAAGAAAAGGAGGCTACTAGAAGGAAAAGGAGTGGGGCTAAGCAGAGCTGTGGAAGGAATGAAGATTATAAGCTGGAATGTGAGAGGTTTGGGGGGTGTAAGAAAAAGAACCTTAATAAAGGAAGTTTTAAAGAAAGAAAATCCAGACATTGTTTTAATTCAGGAATCTAAACTTATGACTTTTGACAAAAGGTGGGCTAGAAGTGTGTGGAGAGTGAATGGACTGAGGTGGGTTATGTGCCCCTCCTGGGGCTCATCTGGAGGGTTAATTACTTTGTGGAAGGATCAAGTAGTGGAGGGAGTGGAAGAATTAGTGGGAAGGTTCTCAATTTCTGTCAAATTTAGGCAGGTGTTAGATGGATTTGAGTGGGTCCTTACCAATGTATATGGTCCAAATGATTACAAACAAAGGAAGGAGAATTGGGAGCAACTGGGAGATATTAGAGGTCTGTGGGAGGGGCCATGGTGTGTGGGAGGGGATTTCAATGTGATAAGGTTCAAGGAAGAGAGCAACAAGGTGAGACAAAGGAGCACTACCAGTATGAGGAAGTTCAATGAGTTCATTAATGCTTTTGAGTTAAAGGAATTGAACATTTCTCATAATAGCTTCACTTGGTCTAATCTCCAAGCTGAACCCTTCTGCTCCAAATTAGATAGATTCTTGTTCACCACAGACTGCGAGGAGCATTGGGGAGATCTGGTGTCAAGGGCTCTACCCAGAGTTACTTCTGATCATTGGCCAATAATGATTGGTAAGTCTAATATTGGTGGTAGTGGGCCCTCTCCCTTCAGGTTTGAAAATATGTGGCTACTTCACCTGGAATTCAAAGACAAAGTGAAAACTTGGTGGAATGAAAGTAACCCGAAAGTCAATTGGGAAGGGATGAAATTCCATTGGAAGCTGAAAGAGCTCAAGGTCAAAATTAAGGAATGGAATTCTCTCCACTTTGGTAGGCTAGAAGAGAAGAAGCAGCAATTGATAAGTAAAATAGAGGAGTTAGATGCTAAGGAAGAAAGAGGATGTTTTGGGGACCGAGATAAAGAAATGAGGTGGAAGTTAAAGAAGAGCCTGGAGGAGATAATCTTCAAAGAAGAAGCAACTTGGAGACAAAAATCTAGACACAAATGGGTGAAGGAAGGAGATAGGAATACAAAAGTATTCCATGCAAGAGCCAATGGCAGAAGAAAGAAGAGAACCATATCTAAGCTGGTTGTTGATGGAACAGTTTTAACACAACAGCAAGAGATTGTCGGGGCTTTTGTGGAACACTTTAAATCCATCTTTAGAAAGCCTTTGCAGAAGAGATAAAGGATTGAAGGGTTGGTTTGGCCTAAGCTCCCTAATGAGTTGATGTTGTGGCTGGAAAGAGAATTTGACTTGGAAGAAATCAGAGAAGCCATTTTCTCTATGGATAGATCTAAAGCCCCGGGCCCTGATGGCTTCACAATGGCCTTTTATCAAGATTGTTGGGAGATAATTAAGGCTGGCATTCAAGCAGTGTTCTTGGAATTCTTTGAAAGAGGTGTGATAATGTTGTGGACGCGTTTGTTGGGAAGAAGTACCACCGCCGGCAGCAGCAGTGATGAGGTGTCCTCATCAGATTATCTAGCTAGTCACAGTTCATCTTATCTATCTTATCTTATCTTATATGTTTCTTATCTTATCTATTTCAATAAGGATTAGTAGAAGATTAGTAGGAGTCTGATTTATCTTAGGGAGTCTTATCCTTCTTAAGTTAGGAGTCTTATCTGTAAGCAGTCGAATTCAACAAGGAGGACTCTACCTCTTGTAATCTCCTATTTAAGGAGCTGCGATTATGGAATAAAGCATCCAATTCAGTCAAGAAAGAAAGTAAGGGAGAGTTAGGGTGATCTCTTGAACAAATCACCCCCTTTAGGTCACCACGATAGGGTCTGCACGAAAAGGGAGGGGCAAGGGGAAACTAGAGGTTCTCCCCGTGGACCGACCCGTGACGAGATCCTATTCCCGGGCCCATAACATTTTGGTATCAGAGCCAAACGTCATGGGCGATCTGGAGCAGCTGACGTCCAGGGTCCACGAATTGGAGCACCGGCTCGTGGAGAACAACGCAGAGGTACGTGAAGTCAAGGACGATGTCCGAGAGCTACGACGCTTGCTGGAGTCGTATTTTCTAACAAGGAGAAGAGCCCCGAAGGAACTGCAACCACCAACATCCGCCGACCAGATTTGGCGGAATCGTCCGGCGAACAACAGATCGTCACCCCGGCAGCCGCTGTTGTCCCCAAGTACAGTAGGCTGGAGTTCCCTTCGTACAACGGCAGCGGAGATCCGCTGGGATGGCTATACCGCTATGAACAATTCTTTCGCAATCAGCGTACGGAAGACAGAGACAAGGTCAGTCTAGTTGCATTCCATCTAACGGAAGAAGCACAACTCTGGTTCTACCGAGTGGAGCAGGAGGAACCCGGGCTCAGTTGGGGCCAATTTAAGTCCTACTGCCTCCTCAGGTTCAGGCCCCCATTAACGAGCAACCCGCTAGGTGAATTGATCAACCTCAAGAAGACAGGCACCGTGGTTGAATACCAGCGCCAATTTCAGACCCTCCTTGCCAGAGCAACCTCGGTACGACCGGATGAGCAGGTGGACATGTTCACCGCCGGATTAGCTGAACCTAGCTCGCACCATGAACCGGATCAGCAGGTGCAACATCCTCCCAACCCGGTCACCGCCATGAACCTAGCTCGCGCCTTCGAACGTAAGCTACAGCTCAGCCGCGGGACCTTCAGTATGGGTCGACCGACGACATCATGGACACCCCCAAAGTCAACCGGGGTGGCCCCTTCTTCGACAACCAGCAGGGAACAAAAACTTCACACAAGTATCGTTCCCAGGTCGGCATCAAGCACAGGAAGCAGCATGACGACACCCCCCATCAAACGTTTATCCAGAGCCGAGATGGCAGATCGCCGGGCAAGGGGGCAATGCTTCAACTGCGATGAGCTATATTCGGCGGGGCACAGATGCAAGAGGCTATTCTGCCTTCTGGTGGACGAATAGGAGAAAGACGAGGATGAACCCGCAGCATTAGAACCCGAGATCTCCCTCCATGCAATCACCGGGATAAAGACCTCTCAAACTATGCAATTGTGGGCGCAGGTGGTAGGGAAACTAGTACGTATCCTCGTAGATTCGGGAAGCACGCACAATTTTTTAAGTGAGCAAGCTGCCCTTCAGCTGAAACTACCCATGGAAATCAGACCGCAACTGCAGGTAGCCGTCGCAAACAGAGAGAGGGTTCATGGCCCCGGAATCTGTAAGAGCATCCAAATACAGGTCGAATCCGGACCCTTCTCTGCTGATTTATTTGTGCTAACCTTGGATGAATTTGATATAGTACTTGGAGTTAAATGGTTGATCACCCTAGGCCCTATCCTATGGGATTTCAGCGCCCTAACAATGTCATTCCGCCTGAATGGAAAACAAGTTACTTGGCAGGGAGTAAAGGCAAAAAAACCGCAAGTACATTGCTAAATGCCTACTACTACTACTACTTTTTGTTTTCTTCTTTTCCTATAACAAAAATAAGGGTTCAGACCCTATATTTTTTTAATTTTCTTTTCCTTCTTTTTTTTCTTCTCATGAATATGTTGATTTTCTATACTTTAACATGAACTCTATACTTTTCTTATGAACAATTATTAAGGAAATATGGCTATGGTACCTAGGGAACTACCCTAGGATCTATATTTTCTATATAAAAAAGTCCATCGCCTAGGTGACGCCTACGCGCCCGCCTAGGCACCTAGGCGACAAGGCACCCCCTGACGCCCAGCCTCGCCTTGGTGCCTTGAAAACTATGCCGATGTGCAACTAAGAGAGAGAGAGAGAGTCGAATGAGAGAGGAGAGAGACGGAGAGGGTGGGAAGAAGAAATGGGAAGAGGAAAAGGCATGGAGGAAAAGTCAGCCTGCGCCAGATATGTAGCGGCAATCAATTGATCTTTAGCGGTAGTTTAATCGACTACCGCTAAAGATCAATATTTCTAGCGGCAGTTGCCGAACAGCCAGTTTGAAAACTATGCTAGAAATCTAATTTTTTGTAGTGACATTAGGTTACCAGATCAATTTTATAACCTATAAAATGGTAGGATCAAAACTGACATGGGATTCTTTCCAGAGATGATAATACAAGCTTTTAACTGAAAATTGGCCACTCTTTGAAAGCAGCCAAATGAACTTATCTAAGTGATGATGCTGAAAGATAAAAAGTGTTCAATATGAGACTAACCTCCGAAGAATTAAAAGTTTGAAACAGTTTCTCAAGATCCCACTGACCATCTGGGGTGAACAGGTCCCAAAGAGTTAAATTTTTCTCTCTACGAGTAGGTTAACCCATTGGGGCACAAAAAGTCTTTCCAATAGTAATCCAAGGAGAATTCCACACCTTCAACGTGGATGATGCAGTACATTGAATTCCAATTTTAGAACAGAACTCCCTTAGATTTGCACTAATGCTTTTCTAGATTGGGGAAGCCAAAGCTGGAGTTTTCGAAGGAAACAACTCATTGTTCAAGAAATATTTGCTTTTCAACACTTGGACCCAAAGAGATTGAGGTTCATTAAGAAAACGCCACGCTAATTTCGCTAAAAGGGCCTTATTAAGTAAACTAGATTGTCTAAATCCAAGCCCACCTTCTCATTTTGGGGATGCCAATTTATCCCAACTAGCCCATCTAAGGCTCTTTTGATTTTTTTTAACCTTTCCACCAGAAAGCTGCCTGAATAATATTAATTTCATTTAGGGTGGATTTAGGAAACTGAGTAATGCTCATACAATACATAGGTACAGATTGCAAAGAAGATTGAATTAAAACCTATCGTCCCGCATAAGAAAGGCATGCAGCTTTCCAACAAGATAGTCTCCCTTTTAATTTATCCAGGATAAATTCCAACAATTCTTTCTTTTCTTCCATAATAGTGGAACTCCAAGATATTTACACTCCTTCATGAGAGATGACATCCGTAATTGCTTTGGTAGCATTTTTTTTTTACCTTTGATAGGGGTGTTACCGCTAAACCACAATCCTGATTTGCTAGAATTAACCATTAAACCAGAAAAACGATGAAAGACATTTAAAAAGTCACTTAAATCAGCAGCCTCATCTCGGGTAGCTCTAGAAAAAACTAAAACATATACAAAAAGCAGATGAGAAATAGGAGCATGTGGAGACACTTTAGTTCCAAGCAGCTTACCTTCATTATTAGCCTTATCCATCGACCTAGAAAAACCCTCCATTGCCAAGACAAACAGATAGGGTGAAAGAGGATCACCCTGTCTAATCCCTCTAGAAGGGCTAAACCTACCTTCTGCATAACCATATAAGGATAGAAAATAAAACTGAAGTAATACAAGCTGATATCATATCACACCAATCCTGGCAAAAACTTAACTCTTTAAGAATCAATAACAAATAATCCCACTCCAAAGAATCATAGGCTTTAGAAACATCAAGCTTGACAATCATAGCCCCTCCTCGTTTTTTGTGTTTGGCAAAATGCACTATTTCCTGAGCTATAACAATATTATTATCCCAAATCTGTCGTTGAGGGACAAAAGCTGATTTAAAGGGAGAGATGTATTTTCCTAGCAATTGTTTCAATGGATTAGCTAGGACCTTAGTGATGACTTTATATAAAACAATTACATAGACTAATTGGGGGACAATCCTGATCTCTATGAGCCTCCTGAGACTTAGGAACAAGAGTGGTAAACATGTGGTTGATTCTTCCTACGAATTTTTTATTTCGGAAAAATTCAGAGACAAATTCATAGATGTCCTCCCCATCTCATCCCAAAAATTTTGGTAGACTATAGCTGGAATACCGTCTGGTCCTGGACCAGCGCCCCAATAGAGAAAACAGCCTGTTTAACTTCTTCTAAAGGAGGGCCAATTAAAAAACAATTATCTTGGTCTGATATGATTGGATCAAACAGATGAAGAAAGTCAATTGGTTCATCTCTAGGATAAGTAAATAGATTTTTAAAATGTTCCACAAAGAGATTAGAGATTTCCTCATGAGTATGAACCCAATTACTTTCTGTATCCTTTACCCAAGCTATAGCATTTCTAGCCCTTTGGAAGAGAGTAACTGGACCAGCAAGTGAAGACATGACGAGGACTAACATCTTTGAGACTCCTAAAATCTTCATTGATAACAATTTTACCATAATACATGTTTGCACTTGGCCCAATTACACATCATTTTACTTAAATATGGATAACCAACACATCTCCATGACTATGGTTTTGTAAAAAAATGAAATGAGGTTAATCAATATATATCTCTGCTAATTTAATAGAAACACAATGTGAATATAATGAATATGGCAAATGTTTGAGGTTCCCACCACTATATTGAGACACAAGCAATGGCACACTTTTATGTTGGCGTCATGAGTAATGACATAACCACAAATACAAGGACAACTAGTGCCACTAATCTGGTTGATTTTTCTACCCTTTGCATCTGCTCTATCTTTTCTTTGATTCCAATCACTTCATTCCACTTTACCTCATCTAGCCAATCACCATGATTTTTCTACCCTTTGCATCAATTTCTTCATTGAGCTTTTTCATCATTCTAACATTTTTGTGTTGAATCAACTATACATAGGGCCTGCAAAAATATACACACAAATGTTTATTTTCAATAGACTTTTCTATGTTGAATCAACTATACACAGGGCCTCTAGAAATATGCACATAAATGTATACACAGGTCCTGCACCCAAACCAATTGATTTTTACCCAGTCAATGTTTTTCAACTTGCATGCCATGTTTCCTATAAAAACTGCAATATCTTCTTAGATCATTGAAAATCATCTTGTCTAATATATAATCAACACTATCTAACCCATAACAAGTGATGGTAATTTAACAATGTCTAATTATTTCTTAAACCAACCATCAAACAGGTGGTGAGCAATATTCTATGTTCCCCCATCAAAACCAATCTAATAATCATAGATAATATATAGGCTCAAGTACCAATAAACCCATTTTCAAAAAAAAAAAAAAGTATCAATAAACCCAATGAAAGGTTGAATATTTGTTTCAATTATCTTAGGCAGTTGGATCCCTGATGAAACAAATGGTAAGCAATATTCTTAACATTTCCTAATCACTTCAATAAAAGAAACATTGAGGTGTGTATAGATATCGTGTTTTAAATATCATTTGTAAAATAGGTATGGAAAAATGAGGAACTGGAGTGTTTAGAGGACTTGATCAGACAGTCCATAGTCTCTTTGAAATTTAGAAGAGCCTCAGATGGAAAAGAGTGGGCCCTAACAAATGTGTATGGTTCCAACTCTTGTAGAGACAGGCCTCTATTCTGGGAAAAGTTATTTGCTATCTGGGGTTTATGGGCAGGCCCTTGGTGCATAGGGGGAGATTTCAATGTTATCATATTCCCAAGAGAAACAAATAATCCTAACCAAGGGATCACTACTAGTATGAGAAATTTTAATGCTTTAGTGGAGACCCTTGAGCTAAAAGAGCTTCCATTGTTGCAAGCAGATTTTACGTGGCCAAATTTCCAAAGAGTGACTTCGGATCACTATCCCATTAGCCTTGAGAAAGAACATTTTGGAGGAGGTCCATCACCATTCAGATTTGAAAATACGTGGTTTGAAGACCCCTCATTCAAGGAAAGATTGAAGTTTTGGTGGGGAGAACTCAGATCCTTCGGAAGTGAGAAATTAATGACGTTCGGCAGAAAGCTTAAGAGGAGAAAATTAAAGCTTGGAACAAAGAATCTTTTGGAATAGTAGACGAAACCAAGGAGAAGATAACTTTGAGGAATGAAGAGTTGAACATAAAAGAGGCTCAAAGAACTTTATCTGAAGAGGGAAGGGCGAAAAGGTGGAAACTAAAGCAATCGCTAGAAGAGTTATTAAAGGAAAGGAGATTTGCTGGAGGCAAAAATCTAGGTCCAAATGGTTGTTGGAAGGGGATGAAAATAAAAGTTTTTTCACTCACAAGCAAATGGCAGAAGAAAAAAAAATATCATTCACAATGTAGAGGTGGAGGGTCAGGAGATAATAAGGATCTTTGTGAATCATTTTCAAGCCCTTTTTGCAGGCCCAGCCAGGGAAAGTACAAGGCTACCAATTTTGGATTGGGATAGAGTGATAGTGGACCAAGAACAACTTTTGGAAAGAAGATTTTCATTGGAAGAGATTAAGGAAACAATTTTCTGGATGGAGAGAACAAAAGCCCCAGGACCATATGGTTTTTCAATGGCTTTCTACCAGGAATGTTGGGATTTTTTTGAAAACAGACCTCTTGGAAGTCTTTAATGGTTTTTTCCACCAAGGGGAGATCCCCCCTGGGGTAAATGCCACTTTTATTGCCTTGATCCCAAAAGGGAATGGGGCAAAAACGCCAAAAGACTATAGACCAATAAGCCTAATCGGGAGTCTTTATAAAATTATCTCAAAGGTCTTGTCTGAGAGATTGAAGATGATCCTTCCCTCGGTGATCTCTCCTTTTCAAGGGTCTGTTGTGGAAGGAAGACAAATTTTGGATCAAATTCTGGTGGCTAATGAAAAGAGGAAAAGTAGAGAGAAAATCTGGTTTGCAAGGTGGATTTACAGAAAGCCTATGACCTAGTAGTTTGGCAAGTGTTGTAGGAAGCCCTGGAGAAATTTGGGTTTGGGGCAAAGTGGAGGGAGTGGATCAAGGGGTGTGTTAGCTCAGTTCATTACTAATTTCTTATTAGGAGTGGCAAAAGATTTCTTCCTAGCCAAACGTGGTTTAAGACAAGGAGATCCATTGTCCCCTTTTCTTTTCACTATACTAGTAGAGATTCTAAGTAGGTGGGTGATAAAAGCTTAGCTACATGGTTTGATTAGGGGGTGGAGAATTGGAAGAAACCAAGTGGTAGTTTCCCACCTCCAATCTGTTGACAATACAATTTTGTTTTGTGAGGGTGAGAGTGTAGATGTGGAAATTGGAGAAATCTGAAGTTGTTGATTGATGAATTTGTGGGACTAATAGGCTTGAAAATCAGTCGGGGCAAAAGTGGGATTTTAGGAATCAACATGGAAGGTAGGGAAATGCAGATTTTTGTTGAGGTTCTGGTTGCAAGATTAAAGATTGGCCATTAGTTTACCTAGGTTTGCCATTAGGAGGAAATCCTAGAAGTGGCGAATTTTGAAAACCAGTGGAGGAAAGGTTCCCTGGAAATTAGCCTTATGGAAGGGGGGGAGAATTACTCTAATAAGAGCTACACTAGCAAACCTTCCTATTTATTTCCTTTCCACCTTCCACGTCCCAACTAGGGTTGCAGGGCAGTTAGAGAAGTATATAAGGAACCAGGAGATAAAAAAGGATCACTTGGTAAAGTGGGAACAAGTTACGAAACTTAAGGAAGAAGGAAGTTTAGGTTTGGGGAATATTATCCCAAAAAGTAAAGGGTTGTGGAGATTCCCCTTTGAATGAGAGAAGTTGTAGCACAAGGTTATAGTAAGCATTCATGGGTTGGAAATGGTTGGGATGCTAAACTTGCTCCCAACTCCTCTTCTTTGTCTCCGTAGAAAGAAATTCGTGAAGTCTACCCAATCTTTCTTAACTTTATCAGGTATGATGTGGGAAGAGGTGAAAAAAATTGTTTTGGGGAGGACCTTTGATTGGGGCCAAGTCCACTTAAAGACCAATTGCCTGAACTCTTTTCCATTTCTCAGCTCAAATGAGAGACCATCTCCAAGTTGGTAACCCCCCTCTCCAACTGGTTTAAACCGGAATTTGGGGCTCAGAAGGGGGGGTTAAGGGAAAATGAATTTTCATCCTTGATTCCCCTACTTGAAACCTTAAAGCAAGAATCCTTGGACTCTTCCCTTAAGGATTCTAGAATTTTTTTTTTTTTGATGAATTAAGGATTCTAGAATTTGGTTGACCTCTATTGATGGTCTCTTTACCTGCTCATCTTTCTTTAAATCCCTCACCTCATCAAGTTCTCAAGGGGTGGACTTCCCAATTAAAGAAATTTGGAGTAAGCCTATCCCACTCAAAATTCAAGCTTTCTGCTGGGAAATTTTTCTTGGTAAGGTAAATACTTGTGACTTACTACAGAAAAGAAGGCCTTTTGTTTGCCTCTCTCCTCACATGTGCTTCCTTTGTAGGGGTAACGGTGAGACTTTATTTCATTTACTTCTCTCCTGTCCTTTTGTGCTGAGAATTTGGGAGTTTTTTGTTCTCTTTTTGGCTGCAGGTGGGTCCCATCTCAAGATGTGGAAGGTCTCTTCAACCTTAACTTCTTGAGGCAACCAAAGAAAAAGGGGGAAAGTGCTTTGGAAAGCCACTAAGGCAGCAATCTGCCGGATGGCATGAGAAGAGAGAAATAGCAAAATCTTCTTGGAAAAGAGTTGAAGTTTGGAAGATAGACTGTATAAAAATAAAGGTAGTGTTATGGGTGAAGACTGAATATTTTCAAAACCTTCACAGTAACTGATTTCTTGTGAACCTGGACCAAAATAGCACAGTCATCAAGAACAAAGGACAGAAAAAGGATGGGTTAAAGGCAACAAAGTAAAATTAAATTTTGATGGAAGCTCTCTTGGAAACGCGGGTATGGCTGGAATAGGGGGGTTATCAGAAATTCAGAGAGGAGAAATATTGGCTATCTTCTCAAGACCAATTGACTTCAGAAATTCTTTGAAGGATGAGTTTTTGGCTTTATTACAAGGCCTCAGATTAGCTAAGTAGTTGGGAGGTAGAATGATTGAGGTGGAAGGAGATTCACAAGTAGTCATATCCTCGGCTAAATCCAATAGGAATATTCCTTGGTCCCTAAAGTATATTCCAAGGGAAGTGGAAACGATTGCAGAAGTGAAGGGATGAGAGATCCATCGTATGGACGCCCAAATCTTGCGGAATTAGGTGGACGAATTTCAAAAAATTTTCTCTCCCTTCAACTGGGAATCGCATTCCCTATTTAGAAAATCATATTTTCAATGATCAATCTTGAACCATAAACTGAACCAGATCTGAACAAAAGCAGTAGGAGAGGATTATACCTGATACGGAGAAATAATATCTCCCAACGAATGTGTTCACGCCCAAGGAAGGATCCAAAGACTGCTCCCACTGAAGATGGCATAGTGTAGGATGGAGCAGAATCARCAGTGTTCTTCTCCAAGAACCTAGTCCTTCGCAAGAAATAGCAGRATGGCACGTGAGCACAGCTTCCTATCAGTCCCTTCACAAGGAACTGATATCAAGATCGAATCTTGATTTCTCCCACTGAAAAGGAGGTCGAACTGGCAGGTGAGGCGGTGGCAGGAAAAAGGCAGCAAGAGAGAATTTTCGCAGGTGAGCTGAGTTCTCTCTTCTGTGATTTCAGCTCTAAATACTTGCAGTGATCTGATGATCTTGTGATTATCTAAAGGTTGCCGCCCCTTCCTTCTTTTGTAACCTTAAAGGATCACCTCCTAATCCCATTAGGAGTTGTTGATCCAAATCTTATTTGGATCAGACATCCCTTTAGGTGATAAGGATAAACACTTATCTTATCTGCATAACAGATCAGCCTTCTCCTAATCTCATTAGGAGGTTTCCAGATCTGAATGTGATTCAGATCTGGACTCTCTGAGTGGATAGGGTTAAGGTCCTATCCTATCTACAAATCCATTCCAAAATTCGCCCCATATTTAACCACTTAAATCAGCCCACTTCGAAATGGGTTTTAGGCCCATTAAGGTTATGTGCTCACTTAGCCTTCCTAACTGCTGCCCAGTTGGGCTTCCTTGTATGGCGTGGGACCCAAACATTGATCTACA